TCAAAAGAAACCCGCACATCTCCACTTGGCAAGGCTGAAATTGACAATGAATCCTTTTTCATGCGGATCTGCTCGGCAGAAGAAGAGGCAATTTTGACTTCGATATACTTCGATTCGGCTGCAACTGCAAGCCACCAGTCAACTGAGCTGTTTCGACCTCGCCATGTTCCTGCAACTCGTTCACGCTGTCGTTGCCACGGAACCGAACCTGAATCCAAAGGGGATCAGGCAAAAAGAAGCTCCAAACACATCTTGAACCGCGCCATTCAAGTTTCTTGCCTGCCTGCTGCCTACCCCAGGAGATTTTGCATGAGTACACGGGCATTTCTATCCTTGGTTCCTTTGTTGCCTTAATATCCATTGCCACAAGCTACGGGGTTTGAACTTTAGTACATATCTGATTTGATCATCTGACTAAGTCGATTGTCACAATCTGTCACATATGGGAGGATTCGGGAGAGCACCCAAGCTGGCCCAGCCCGTTATCCATTCCATGTGACACTCCTCCCTGGTCCTGGGCTTTCCGGCACCACGCTTTGAAGGTGACGAGAACCCATCACTGCCCGCATCCTAAGCGCTGCATGGGGGGGGCCTGTGCCAGAGCGAAGAATCTTATGACAGCCTTGTGACAGTCTTATGACACTCTACACATTAGGCTATTGAAACATGTTCCCATACAAAATGGCAGGGACTAAGGTTCCATGTGTTCCTCCAACTGCTGTGCACCTGCCCGCATGTGCTTTCATCACTTATCATGCTGCCATGAAAAACATTGCATTTTCTAGCCCGGCCATCTATTTCCCAAGTTTCACTTCCCCTTTTGGTCGACACACTTCCCGTATTCATCGCTGTATCGATCTTTGGTCCTACGCCATCCTACATTTTTGAGCCTGGGTATGACAAGTGCAAAGCCACTAAGTCTCAAGAGCAGGCCGCCACAGTTTTTTATGGCGTTTCGAAAACCGAACAAGTTACAACATGGAGTTGCCCATGGACCCAAGTGGAAATTGGGGAGAGCAGGAAACGTACTTAGAAGGTCTGAATAAGCAACATGCAAAATGTTCAAAAGAGATAGAGCACTAACAGGAAGCTTTGGTGCAACGACCAAAATCCCTGCAGAATTGAGCGAGCAGCTCGTTTTCCAAGAAGAGCACCAATTTCCTACAGAACGACCCCCTAAAATCAACAAAGTGATTCCTTACAAAATGAATGGCCCCAACCCAGCCAAGATTTCAAGCTGCAGTTTTAATTTTATGCCTAAAATCATGCATTTTAGTGCTCTTACAATATGGCAAGGTGCAGGCAACTCCCTACAGAATGGCCTCTGAATGGGCCTTGAAGCCTTCCAAATTAGCACATGCTACAAAATGGCTGGCCTAGGCAAATGCGTCTGTGTTAAAGAAACACGTTGGGTTCCAAGATGCGAAGTGTTGAAATACGCAGTGCCACACGCACACGCATATTGTAGCTCATCGGCTGGGCCAGGTTCGAAATTGCACAAGGGATGATCTGCCCACTTGAAACTAATTGGCAGAAACCTGATCATGTTGCTGACATCGTTGCTGAAGAGCCTCTTGCCTGGACGTGCGCGATATCAGTCATACCAGTAGTACCGCACAAGGTGGTGGCGGAAGCTTCAAGGATTGGACACTATAGGAGAGGTGAGTTGCTGTGATGCATGGATGGCAGAGCGAACACTGATGGACCGAAAGGTGCTTGGAGTTGTGTTTTTTGGAGTGGTTGGAATGGTTGCAGTGGTTACCTCACCCACAACTGCTGGATGTAGTGTGGTGTAACGCAGTTGTAGCTGTAGTTGTAATGTAGTGTAGTGGAGTCGTAGTTGTAGTGTAGTGTACATAGTGTAGCGCAGTCGTAGTTGCAGTTGTAGTTGTGGTGTGGCGTAATTAGTGTAGCGTAGTGTAGTGTAGTCTAGTGTAGTGTAGTCTTGTGTAGCACAGTGTAGTGCAGTGTAGCGTCGTGTAGTGTAGTGTAGCGTAGTGTCGTGTAGTGTGAAGTAGTGCAGTTGTAGTTGTAGCGGTAGTTGTAGTTGTAGTGTAGTGTACATAGTGTAGCGCAGTGTAGCGCAGTGTAGCGCAGTGTAGCGCAGTGTAGCGCAGTGTAGCGCAGTGTAGCGCAGTGTAGCGCAGTGTAGCGCAGTGTAGCGTAGTGTAGCGTAGTGTAGCGTAGTGTAGCGTAGTGTAGCGTAGTGTAGCGTAGTGTAGCGTAGTGTAGCGTAGTGTAGCGTAGTATAGCGTAGTGTAGCGTAGTGTAGCGTAGTGTAGCGTAGTGTAGCGTAGTGTAGCGTAGTGTAGCGTAGTGTAGCGTAGTGTAGCGTAGTGTAGCGTAGTGTAGCGTAGTGTAGCGTAGTGTAGGGTAGTGTAGGGTAGTGTAGGGTAGGGTCCAAGCTGGAGTCCAAGGACCGTGTCGCAGGGCTAAAACACCATGCCAGTGAAGGACGGATTGGGCCCGCGGCCCGTAGCCCAGACTGCCAAACGTTACTTTCTGAACCGACTGGAAACTAGCTCCAAACCTTGACTTTATAGACTTTATAGAATAGAAACTAGCTCCAATTACTTTCTGAACCGACTAGAAACTAGCTCCAAACCTTGACTTTACCTGCGTTTCTGCACTGCCAACTGCCACCCTGCTCGTGTCCTCCTGGAGCTGGCTTTCGTTCTGCACAGCTCCGGTCCAAGCTGGAGTCCAAGGACCGTGTCGCAGTGTCGCAGGGCTAAAACACCATGGCAGTGAAGGACGGATTGGGCCCGCGGCCCGTAGCCCAGACTGCCAAACGTTACTTTCTGAACCGACTAGAAACTAGCTCCAAACCTTGACTTTACCTGCGTTTCTGCACTGCCAACTGCCACCCTGCTCGTGTCCTCCTGGAGCTGGCTTTCGTTCTGCACAGCTCCGGTCCCAGCTGGAGTCCAAGGACCGTGTCGCAGGGCTAAAACACCATGGCAGTGAAGGACGGACCGTAGTGTAGCGTAATGTAGTGTAGTTGCATTTGCGGTTGCAGTTGTAGTTACAGCTGTAGTGTAGAGCAATGTAGTGTAGTTGTAGTTGTGGTTGTAGTTGTCATGTAGTGTAATGTAGCGTAGCGTAGTGTAATGTAGTGTAATGTAGTGTAATGTAGTGCAGTTCTAGTTGTACTTGTAGCTGTTGTTGTTGTTGTTGTTGTCGTTGTAGTCGTAGTAGTCGTAGTAGTAGTAGTAGCAGCAGCAGCAGTAGTAGTAGTAGAAGTTGTTGTTGTTGTTGTTTTAGTGTGGTGTATTGTAATGTAGCACAGTTGTAGTTGTAGTTGTAGTTTTAGTGTCGCGTAGTATAATGTAGTGTAGTGTAATTAGTGTAGTGTAGCGTAAGGTAGTGTAGTTGTAGCTGTCGTATGCTGTAGTTGTAGTAGTAGTTGCAGTTGTAGTGTAGTTAGTGTGGTGTACTGCAATTAGTGTAGTGTAAGTTTAATAATGCAGCGCTATTAGTGTGGTGAAATGTCGCGTAGTGATTTGCATTTGCATTTGTAGTTGTAGTTGTAGTGGTAGTTGTAGTTGTCTATCTATCTGTCTATCTGCAAGCTTGAAAACGAAGCAATTCTGCGCGACTTCCTCAACTTTTGAACTTGACAACATCAACAACGAAGCTATTCTGCGAGACTTCCTCAATTTTGGAAGCTGACGACATCAAAAACAAAGCAATTCTGCGAGACTTCCTTCAAAAATGGAAAGTTGAGTGCAGAGCTGACGGCCTCGTACCTATGCGTTTTGCGATTTTTCCACTCCGCCTGTCTAAAGTACTGCGCCTGCCACAAAAAAGTGATGCCAGGTCATACGAAGTGCTGCACTTGTCACACAAAATCATCTCAGCAAACCTGAAGATCTGAGGTTCCAAAATGGAACCCCTCTCAGGAAATCAGCGCCCGGACCTCCTAACAGCTCTGATGAAGATGTCTCTTGTATTGCGCCTGCCGCGGAAAATGCATCTTTGCAGATCTTCTTCAAATGTCCCACGCCTGCCATCGTTTCTGGAAATGCTATGCTCCCTTTTGACAAGGTGCACAAGCCCCTGCGCCTGCCACGCAAAACGACATCTGAACGTCCAAAAGTGCTCCGAACCCGTCGTCGAAATGTGCTTCGCGCCACAACGGCGTACACTTCTTCGACATGTCAACTTCCAAAAGTGGTCCGAGCATGGTGTTTTTTGTACATTTTGACTTGGACATGTGCTTCACGCCACAGCGGCGTACACTTTTTCGACATCTCAACTTCCAAAAGTGCTCCGAGACTGTCAGCTTTAGCACTTTTGACTTTCAAATGTGCTTCGTGCCAGAACGGCGTGCACTTTTTCGACATCTCAACGTCCGCTTTTAGCTTTTTCACTTGCAAATGTGCTTCGCGCCACAACGGCGTGCAACTTTTAATCTCTCATCTGACCACATGGCTCCGCACCCACCGCTTTAGCGAGCCTACTTTTCGACCCTCCGGAGCCACAAATCATTGGAAAAACACAGCGCTTCGCGACTTTTCTACCTTTTCGCCCACCTGCATCTTCTGTCTTCTGCCTCTTTCTCTTCTCTGATCTTCTTTCTTCTTTTCTTCTCTTCTCTGACTCTTCCCACCTCTGCTTTTTCATCTGTCCATATTGTCGGAAGTTTGACTTCTAAACTTCCTTCGATTATGGACCCAAAACGTGTCCCGAGCATGAAGGAATATGAAACTTGATCGCTGTCCTTTTCCCCCTCATCATCGTTCAGTCCGATCAAACCCACGGAATATCATCCATGAAGTCACTGGATTTCATCCGTTTCCGAACAACTTCTCTTCTCAAGCGTTCTTCCTCACGGATCCGCTTTTGGTTCAGCGCTTCAAGTCGCCTCTGCTTTTCCTTGTCCTTTCTCTGCTGCAACTGTCGCAGTCGCAAAGCTTTGCGATACTCTTTGTCTTCAAAACACGCCTGCCTTTTCAGTACACGCTCCCATCTCGCAAGAAGTGTCTTCAAAGCCAACAGCTTCCTCGACAAAATATTGTCAGCAAATGATTTCTGGAAAGAACTTCGCAGTCGCCGTGGGCAATGCCGGCTCCGATCTTGCATTGCCATCTGCTCACGTTCCCACAGCTCCAAGCAGCTTGCACTGCTCTTCTCTCGCAAGCCCCTTGGGCGGTGCTCATTCTTGTCCTGCCTTGCCATTCGTAGCCGCTCCCGACACTCCAGGTACTTGGTGTTCCGGTCTCGCAAACTCCTTGGTCTGTGTTTGTTCTTGTCCTCCTTGGCCATGTGCTGCCTCTCCCAAGATTGCAAAGCTTTTGTGCGAGAATTCGCCGTAGCGGCATGTCCAGCACGGACCGTCTTCATGACAAGCGTGCTGTCTGCCCCTGCAACTTTCCATGCGTCAGCCACTGCCTGTTGAAACCGTTCCCAAGCATGTTCAACATGGGCTGGGCTATACTGCCAAAATATCTTGGCACCTTGCAAGTGTTTTTTGGCATATGCGCGAAAAGGGTCCAGTAAATCGCGTAGTTTTCTCAGAGCTTCAACATTGCGCACACAAGGGGATTTCAGCATTGAGTGGTGGCCAATGAAGATACCGGCTCTTTGATGCACTGCAAAACGAACCTTCAGGTCTTCAATTTGTTTCCCGTGTTCCTGCGCAGAAGACATCAGGGCCGTTTGCAAGCGTTCTTCGAAGTTTGCAGGCAATCCTGTGCCATCCTGAACCTTCTGCTTGACAGAGGTTAAAATCACCAAGTGCTCCAAAGCAGTTTGTAAATCACTGTATCGCGTAAAGAGTTCAACATTGTCAAAGCAAATGCGAGCAGCGTACGAAGGACACTTTGCAGCATAGCATTTGTGCAGCGACCCGCACCCACTTCGGACTCTTTTCTTTGCATCGTTCTTCTTGTCTCGAAGCTTGGCCATAGCAGGCCGCTTGGCTGCAGGCATCTCAGTTGCAGCGCAAACCCTGCCCACTTTGCCGTAGACCAGAACAGCCACAACATTGCAACCTCCACCATTTGCCACATCCCTTCTATAGATTCTATCTTCAGTCGTCTCCTGCACACTGCTCGCAGAACTTTCTTGACCAGCTAATGTCAACGGTGCTGCTTCTGTAGCGCTATGGGCCTGTGATGAGGAATCCACCATCCATTTCTCCAGAATCAGCCGCTGCTTCTGAGAGAAATCGTTGCTGATCGCGTCATTCCGCACGTCTCGAGGCAACTGTTTCAAGAGATCACGGATCTTGATCAAGAGCTTGGTTTGCTTGGACTGGGGTGCTTGAGGTGATGGTTCACTTCCTGTGTTCCCCCTGGGCCTCCTCGACTTCCCTTTGGGATTTGGAGCGCGCCTTTTTGATTGCGCTTCCTTCGCAGTGGGATGGCAAGGTTTCCACGTAGCCGTCTTTTTTCCCAAAACGTCCCCAGGTCGTTGCCGTGGCATGTTTCCGGACTCCCTGATGTAGAGACTGTGGTCATACTTCTTGCGAGCTTCTGGGTCAGCCAAGGTCTCAAGTGCCTGGTAGACCAAATGGAAGGCCTCCTTGCTGCCACCCTTGTCTGGATGAACCTGCAGCGCACGCTTTTTGAAAGCCAGCTTGATCTCATCCAGTGTGGCATTCTGATCCACCAGCAGCGCATCATACAAGGACTTTGGCCCAAACAAAGTCATATTATGAGTGTTCTCAGATGTTCTCAGCTGTTCTCAGCATCTTTGAGATAGAGCCAGGGACATCGGTTCAAGGAACAAAAAATGTAAGTGGCTGGATTTCATCCTGAGGCAAAACCCAAATTTGTAAAATGGTCAAACTGTTTCTGGTCATACGCGAGCATCAATTTGAATTGCAGCTAAGTGATGTGATTTACTTGAGGTCTTACAGATTCTTGGAATGTGTTTAACTGTGTTTATATAAACAATATTGAAATATGCAATGTGTTTATATGTGTTTTAACTTAACTTGCTGTGCTGTACCCTGAGGTCGCAGCCCCCAAAGGCAACTTTGGGACCGGAGACTTGGCCTGTGAAAGGTTGGTCGCCCAAAAAAGTGTGGCTGTTGTGTGCTGTTCAACACTGTTGTTTGCCCGAATTTCGAGGCCTCTACCTGTACACTATCTATCACTATCTCTTTAGCCTCCTGATGTCTCCTGCCTCTGGTTCATCCTCCACTTCGAATCCTACCTTAACGCAGACAACCGAGAATGCTGGCCGTTGGGCGGTTGGGCATAGAATATCATAGAATCCTATCAGCGATCCAATGAGTTGCCTCAGGATGCCTCAGGCAACGCCAGGGCTCCCACTCCCTTGGGCGCAAAAGTCGTTGGTTTCCGGCCATGTGCAGAGCGGGTGGGCACTTCTCCTGTGTTCGTCACGGACTCCACGCCTTTCATAGTATGTGTGTGTGCAGTTATTCTCTGTATGTGATTGTATGAGCAGGCGTATTTACATGTATTTACTAATTGAGCGTTATCATAGTCCTTATTGCTACTATCATTATTGCTATGATAGCACGTATTATTATTGCATACCTGTTCGTGTACGCGTTTCTGTGTCTGTGTGTGTGGGTGTGCTTGTGTTTGTGTTTCTGTTTGTGTGTGTGTGTGTGCCGTTCTCTCTGTGGGGTCCTGCTTGTGACAAGTTACTTCAGATTCCCACATTATCCCACATTCATGTTTCCTGATCGAACAACCATTGTCATAGCGTTGGATGGGTTTGCTGGTTTTCCTCCTCTGGAAATGATCCGCCGCGCTTGTCCTTCGTGTTCCACTTCAACCTGGTCTGCATCATCGTTGAAGCTGACCTCATTGGCCGCAGCTCAACGAGAATCATCACTTGGAAACAGTATGCTTTCCAGTTTCGAAAAGAATGGGTTCAAAAAAAAACTATTGTATACCTACATGATACGTCTTGTTACAAGTAAGGAAATCTGCTGGTGTGACGCGATTTCGCCTCAAAGCTCCAACCCACTCTTGGTTCAGCAAACTGCTGCACTCACAAGTAAACATTTGACAACCCTGCTTCGCAACTCCCCACATTGTGTTTGCGTGGATTTCAGCCGTATATCCCATTTTTGCTCCCGTTTGCCATTTATATACATGTATATATATATATATATATGTACGTACGTACGTACGTACGTACGTATGTATGTATGTATGTATGTATGTATGTTTGTATGTTTGTATGTATGTATGTATGTGTGTGTGTGTGTATGTATAGGTACGTACGTACGTACGTACGTACGTATGTATGCATGCATGCATGCATGCATGCATGCATGTATGTATGTATGTATATGTATTTATTTATTTAATTATTTATATATTTATTTATTTATCTATTTATATCTCTCTCTATCTATCTATAGACCTCTCTCTCTTTTTCTGTATGTGCAAACTGCTATTAGTCTTGATATGTTATATATTATCCTACTCAAATAATCTTAAAAATATCTTTAACATATCTTAAATATATTTCAAGATCTCAAATAAATATGTTGTACCAAATTATACCCATTCTTAGGTTCTTCACCCCCAGAGTAAGCTGAGCCCCAAACTCCGGGAGCTGCCCGCGCCTTGGGCACAAAGGCCGTGGCCTTTCGCCCGTGCGCCGAGCGCTTGGGACCCGAGGCCTCCGGGTCTTCCTCGGTCTCGAGGGTCTCGGCGCCATCGTTGAAGCCCACCTAAGGACGGGAGGATCGGATCTAAGGTGTGATATGGCTGATATATGGCTGATATGGTAAAACATGGTAAAACGTCAGATGTAATGCTAATATAAAATATTTATAATCTTCATGATTCATCAATAATCATCAACTAGTTATAAAATATATCATAAATAAATCTATGAATCAATGTTTCAATGGATAGGTTTTGATGGGAAAGTAAACTGGGAACCCGTGGTCTTTACCATAAAATAGAGGGGGTTCCTGCAAATTTTCGCATCATCCAATCCTGGATCTCCAATTGTGAAGGTTTGATCAAAATATGAACTGCCCAAACGAAACCTCGGTATAGTAAGGATATATATTACTTTTTGAAATTGTGTGTTTAGGGGTGTCATTCTTGGGCTGCAATGCCTACAGGGAAATGGGTCCACAGGGCGATTCAGAAATTGATGTTTGAGCAGCCATGGCATGCAATGGATGGCACATGCCTCCAAAACGCACACAGGGCATAAATATAATAAATGGTGACTTAAGCAAGGGATCACTGGGGCTATGGAATCTGCACATGACTCTACATCAATTCCTTTCCATGAATGCTTGGGCCGGTGTCCTTGAGGCAATTTTTGGGCACAAATACAAAGCAAATACAAATTCAATACCAATATAAAGTCAGTGTCCTGAATTTCCCTTGCCTCAAAAAATTGAAATTTCCAACATGGGAAAAACAAATGAAACTTCCCAGCTGCCCTGGCGCTGCACCTGTGGCGACGCGCGGACTTTGGACTTGGGCACGAAGGCGGTCGCCTGCCGCCCGTGAACTGATCGTTTGGGAGTCTGATCAACCTCCACCTCTTCGACATCTTCTTCTTCATCCTCGAATTCAACCTCAGCACATCTCAGCACTATGCAAAAAAGGATGGCTTGTGACTTGTTAAGGTCTAGTGAGACATGAATAAGTTCCGCAATATCAAGACCGCCCACTCAGGGTGTCAAAACAGAAAACCAAGAAGCTTGCAGAGAACTTGGGGTCAAACACCGGACTCCAACTCCACTAAAGTCGAACTCTCGTAAAGGGGTGACTCGTGCCACTCACCATTTGCATATTTGGACTTCGCGATCACAACATGAGAATACATAATACAGAACAGGATGGGATATCTAACATTCAATTCAAGAGAATCTCCGGGCAACCTCGTCATCCACATCATCCACACGTGACCCATTGGGCTCCCGACCCCCACGGCTTTGGCTTTCACGAAGGCAGTGACCTTGCGCCCGTGCACGGCGCGTTTTGGACCTCCTCCATCATCGTCTGCTTCCAGTTCCTCTGCATCGTCCCTGAAGTCGACCTGAGACACTGAAACTGCATGAAACATCATGAAGCTGCAGATAAGCTGCAGAAACCTGTTGAAAATGAGAGTCTGCGCCAATCTGCAGGATTTGACCACAAAGATCCACAAAGATAGTTCTTCCAGTCTGCTTGAACCAACATGATCAACAAACCGGGTTTTACAGCAAGTGTAACATGGTTCAGCAACAATGGTGGATTGATTCTACATGTAAGCATATGTACATTATTTACTTATCAACACTATTCGAACATAGGGATTCCCTGTTGTCATGTTTCATCATGTTTCATTGGCAGAGGGTCAAATCGATCGGACTCTGTCACTGGTTTTGGGGTCCCCAACGGACGCACCATGACTCGGTGCCTTGGGCACGAACGCGGTGGCCTGTCGCCCTTTAACCTTTCGCTGAGGTGTGTTGTCCACTTCAACCTCTTCAACATCCTGTGCGTCAGCTTCGAATTCCACCTTGGCGAAGGAAAAGCTGGAAAAAGCTGGAAAAAGCTGATGGGAAGAGGCAGCCGCACGGCTACTGGGCTTCCTGGCGTTTGGAGCTGCTGCCTTCTTTGGGATGAAGGCCGTAGCCTTCCGCCCGTGCACCGCTCGCTTGGGTCCGGTCATCTCCTGCCAACAGCATTGACCTGTCCTTGGCCCTGTTGATGGGGATCCAATGCGCGTCAGGCAGCTTTCAACATCTCCCACTGGCCAAACACATGGTCCATTTCTGAAGAACTTGGGTCCTCTTCCACCAAGATGTCCTCTGCATCATCGTCGAAGTCCACCTTTGGAAGGGCAAAGCTGCCATGTTGCCATGCTGCCACAAACTCCCCGCCCCATTCAGCTGCCACTGGGTCTCTGGCATCAGGACTCGCAGCCTTTTTAGGTACGAAGGCCGTGGGCGTTCGGCCGTGAACCTTTCGTTTGGGCGTCTTGTCAACCTCCACCTCTTCCACATCATCGTCATAGTCCTCGAAGCCCACCTCAGCCAGCTGGGGACTTTCAAGGCCTTCATAAATCTGGAGTGATCAGAGCAAACTCGGATTTGTTTTTGATTTTGCATGTGGGTTGAAGGTTTATGGTTCCTCTACCAATCTTCACCACTTCACCATGTTTCGCGATTTTGGGGGGCTCAAGTCATCCTAAGTTGACCATGCCCCACTTGTCGCTGAGATCTGCCGAAATCTGAGGCCTGGACCCCGGCCTTCATTGGCTGAGCCACGAAGCCGGTGGGCTTTCGATTCTTGGTCTTTCCTGTCGGCTGAGCTGCGGTGGTTGGGGACCGCCACCAACAATGGGGCTCCCAAGATTCTGTGGCAATTGTCCAATGTCCGAAAGCAATCATTTACGAAGAACGAGAGTGCACTGAGTTCACTAAGCCCTGAGGGGGGTGACGACTGTCGGTGACTAATTATGCCTATGGTCAAGTGAACCTGTGCAAGGTGCTCTTCATGACCGTTAGATTGAAACAAGATTCTTTGCGCAGGCTCTTCTTCGCCAAAGCTGTTGCCATTCGCCAGCCGGCCATCAATCTCCACAATCTGAGGAACAGCAGCAGCATGACACCATTTCAGGGGCACCACTTGGCCAATTTCAAGTCAAGAGTAGCGGCTGTTGATGGTTGATGATGGTTGATGGTTGTTGATGGTTGTTGATGGTTGCTGTTTTCATCTCAGGCGCCCAGTTGTAGACGTTGCAAGTGCTGATAGTGTCAGATCATAAAGGCCCTTGACTTCACCAGGGCACAGGGTCTGGTTGGTGGTCTCAATCCATCCACGCAAAATTGGGGATTATGACATTACAGCGATTTCGGATCCCAAACCGGTCTGGAAAGTAAAGTCTGTATGAGTATGTAACACAAACCAGAAATATACTGCGAAAGAGAATGCCCTGAGGCCGTTGCGCTTTCACGATTCCGGAACATCACTCCTCTTCTCGAGCCCTGGGCGCACCGCAGCTCAAACAAACCCGCCTTGACCCTAAGGAAGGCATCTCCTCTCAATATTATTCTTGCAAATGTGGTGATACAGTGATACCATGGTCTTGCAAATGTTATCATTTGGGTCTTGCATGGTCTTGCTGAGTATCACCTACGACTGAACTATTGGGTGAGAATCCAGCTCGTACCCCACAAACAAAAATGAAGCAATCACAGTGGGAAAACCATCGTCCGAACCCATTGTTGCAGGTGCCATGTTAGAGTTTAAGGGGACCGAAACCGGGGCCCCAGCAGTGGAATCGGAAGATTTGGGGCTCGAGGGTTCGGCCTTAAAGAACCATGGTGGCAAATGCTGATTTGTCCCTCATCTAGCTTAAAACAAAGGTTTGTTACCATGTTTCCACCAGGGTTGCTAAAACCAAGTGCAACTTGTTGTTGTTCTTGTTTGTTCTTTGTTCCTCATGCTTGTTTCAACTACTACCAGTAGTTTGCGCCATCTTTGGCCATTTCGCTGAGGCAGCAAGTTGGCATTATTTCGCATTGAGTTCCTTCTGGGCTCGATGCCGTGCTGTTGGCCATGAAAGCCACCTGATGTAGAGAATGACTATTGTTCAATTAGTAAGTCTGCGATTCGCAGGGTTGATCAACGCTTTGTCACCAAAGATCCCACTGCAGAGCATGGCATACCATGATATAAAAGCGGCTCCCAGTAAGGGATGCTCAAACCAATCTAACCTCTGACCTGGATCCATGGAAACCGACACTTTACTGGTGAAAATTTGCCAACCCTATCATCACAATGGAGAGATGTTCAGGTCTTCAGTTCATTCTAGTTTCCCTGTGGGAGGCTCGGATTCCCACTTCCTGCTGCAGGTCCTCGCAGAAGGACAAAGTTAGTACTGAGGGAAGTATGTTCACTTGGCTTCAAAAGTATCGCCCTGTGAGGACCTGGAAATGTCCTTCTGGAGAAATGTCTGGAGTTTTGCTTCCGTATAGATCTGCTTTACCAAGGGGTGGGCATCCAAACATGTTGCAATGTCATCCATGCCGAACGGCCGGCGGCCGGTCCTCCACAGCTGCAAAGGACTTCTGCCTTGGAGCTTTGCGAAGTGGATCTTGGGGTCCATTATGGTCCATTAGATCACATGGCCATAGAAAACGTACTACAAGGTTACAAAATGTTACAAGGTTGGTAGGTGTTGGGCCCCCGAGGATGGAAAAAAGAAACAGGATCCTTACTAAAGCCAACCATCAAACGGTAGACACACCGGGGTCACACGTCCACGCCGCACAAACATCCCAATTCAGCAGCTGAAACCAAAATGCAACCTTCCAGTCCCAGCTGTCAGCCAGGCAACGCAGTCTTCAAGCCTTGTTGAAGTTCTTGGACCTTTGGGTCGCGGCAGTTGTGCCCTGGCACTTGTGCCCTTTGTCCTATCTGATTATGATAATAGTTGATGAATAGCACCAGCCCGCGGGTCATCAGATTCCCCATTGCCATAAGTCGTCAACAACAAAAGTTGAAACGGCATTGTCCAAGAATGTGTTCGGGGATACAGCCAATTCCTCGCATGTTGCCCCTGTGCTATGGCTGGAAAGACTGATTGAATTCTTCCAGTCACCACCGCTGCCTCAAAGAAATTGCAAGTTGCTTGGTTTTCAATCTGTGCTGTTCCTTAGTTTTCTATATGTTTCTTCTTTTTTCCCGGGAAAATTACAAGGATTTGTTGTCGCAGCTTTTGCATAGGATCGTTGGCTCTTAAGCTTCTGCCTGCTGGCCTCAGCGTTTCATGTTCAACCACCCCTTCCTTTGGCCATGAGCCCGAATTAATTGCAGGATATTGCAGGTTCATGAACTACATGCATATAAAAGCTACACAAACTGCCCTTCAATTTCATTGGGAATGAGCACCAGAACCTGCCTTGCGATCACGTTCCCCCCCTCCAAGCGCCACATTTGGTCATTTTTGCGCTAGCTCTGCGGCTGCACCCTTGGGGGAGCCGCTAAAGATCTGGGTAGCTGCCAGACGAACATTCGGGCGGCGGCCTCAGCTGAGGGACTTGGCATTACTCCCCAACATTCCCCAACAACTTCAACAACTTGCAGCCCAGCTTTGTCATGTTCAAACCTCCACAGGATGGGTCTCCATGGAATGAAGCCATGCTCTCCCGAGGCATTGGCGCGTCGCAGGGAGGTGCAGAGCTGCCAGGATCACTGGGAGAGGCGAAGGGCCTGGGAATTCCGATGGACAGCCCTCCACCCCCGATAGCCAACAGATGCAAGTTTTTCCTGCCAATGCAGCCTTCAACTCCTTAAACTCCTTAAACTCATAAACCAATTCTTTGAAATGATCATCGACCCTTTGTGCTGAGGATTCCCTGCTATCGCCTATTCACAAAATGGGTGGAAGAAAAATGTGTTCATCTTGCACCGATGCCTTTTCTTTGGGAAGATTTTGGGGCGCTGTAGCTTTCCGACATATTTGGGTGACGTTGGCTAAGAGAAAATCCCCGCGGGATGGTTCTAACCGCTAGGCAACGTCAGTAGATGAGCAAAGGGGACCATCAACATATGGACACACACACATATATATATACATATACATATATACATACAACTACCCTCCAGTAAACAATCACACCAGGAAAGAATTCACACCTGAAAATAGGAAAAAAATGAATCACTCGGTAATCTTCCACTATTATCTTTTACATGATTAGATAGATATATATATATACATATGTACAGTATATGTTAGGTAAACCCAAAGGGCTTCGTCTATAGGAACCAGATCCAAGGCTAAGAGCCTTACATAAACCAAAGACGTAAAGAACCAACATAAAACAACGTATACGCAACATAAAAACAAACACAAGTGAATCATAAACACATCGGAAACTCATCATAAACAGAACGCAAGTGAATCCACAATAAAACATAAAACGACTCATCAACAAAACACAAATGAATCCACAAACCATTCTGGCAGTCATGTGTCCCAACTGTCGCGCAAGTGTTTCCATCTTCTCTGGAGGTGAGCGAAGTTATGTGACACAATGTTTGCTCTGTGTTTCACTTGTGTTTGACATATGCTTTGTTTGCGCAGCACTTGCGTCAGGCAAAAGTCTAAGATCTTATTCTGGGAAAATAAGATCTTAGGATTTTGACATAAAAAAAACACAAGCGAAACACAAACAAAACATAAACAAAACACAAATGTAGCATAAACTTGTTTATGTTTTTTTTGTGTTCTGTTTATGTTTTGGTTTATGTTTTGTTTGTGTTTTTTTGTCGATGATTTGCCTATGGCCTTATTTTTATGTTTTTTTGTGTTTTTTTTGCTTGTTTGCACAAAAAAACACCAAAAAACATAAAAATAAGGCCATACGCAAATCATCGGAAAAAAAAAACAAATCAAACATAAACAAAAAATAAACCAAAACATAAACAGAACACAAAAAAAACATAAACAAGTTTATGCTACATTTGTGTTTTGTTTATGTTTTGTTTGTGTTTCGCTTGTGTTTTTTTATGTACGTCAAAATCCTAAGATCTTATTTTCCCAGAATAAGATCTTAGACTTTTGCCTGACGCAAGTGCTGCGCAAACAAAACGTATGTCAGACATATGTGAAACATGTGGGAGACATCAGTTTCACATTGGCTGCAGGTTTGTACCAGGTTTGGATTTCAAATTGGCAACTGCTTGACACAGGGAGGACGGCCAACTCATGTTTCACATATGTTGCAAATTTTACACACATGTTTTGCTTTATGTTTCACTTATGTTTCAATTATATTCCATTAATGTTTCGTTTGTGTTCCACATATGTTTTGTCTTATGTTTGACATATGTTTCATATACGTTTCACATATGTTTCGTTTATGCTTCACATATGTTTTTACTTACGCCTAGACATAGTTTATGTTTACGTCATGCCCCGTCCACCCTCTATAGAAACCATCCCTGGAGCCCCTTTGGATCAAGCTAAAGTATATGTATGTATATGCTATATACACTCCATTACCAGGGTAGATCCAAAGAGGGCACACAAAATTCCCACTTGGAAGCATCCGGCAAGTCGCGTTAAGATCTCCTCCTGCCACTCCTCCAAGTCCTCCGGACTTGTAACCAGGTGGATTCGAATCTAAGACCCACAAACCCACTGATTTGGGACAATTTTATACAATTTATAATTTAGATTGGTATAGCCATCTATTAGCCATCTATAGATGGCTAATTTATACAATTTTACTATAATTAGCCATCTATTAGCCATCTGTTGGCCTATACCAATCTTATTTACTGATGTACACTGCACATCACACCCTACCCAGTTGCAACTTCCGGAGCTCACTCCGTAGCTGACGGCCTCGTAGTCCTCCATCTCACCGAAGAGGTAGCCGTCCATGATGGAATCCATGCCCCACACGTGTTCCTGAAGCAGCTGAGTGGCAAGCACATAGCAGCTGCACAGAAGAAAAATCACATGTGCAAGGGCAACCAAGTATGTATTGCATAGCCGCCGTTCATTCATCAATCCAAGTTCTGAGATGTTCGGCGTCCTATTATTGGCAACCACTAGGGTCGTTCCAAGACTTGGGGCCGCTTGGACATCTGGATAATTTAAGGGATTGTCCATCAATGGTCATCATTCATGGGAGTAGTGATGTTCTCCTCCTTTCACCCTGTGCTCAGCTCATCCAAGCATGGAATATTGATGATTACTGGGAGCCGAGGCTCGTAGTAGGCCTGCCACGACTGGAACTTCTGCATGAAGGCATCTACCTTGATACAAGTATGGGTTTTAAAGAAAACACATAAAATCTCAAGTGTTTGCAGTTTTTGACTGATTTGACCAAGATTAACCGAGCAACTGTTTGGGCGTTACCTGGTTTTGGCACATGCCATACAATCAGCTTCCCCAAAAGCCAGTCCCATACCCTGGACATGACTTCCAATTGAAATAATATTATATAGCCAACAACCATTGGGATATGACTCTGACAAACAGTGAGCGGGTGGATAAGCAACAACTAGTGGGGATCCAACATAGCAAAAATGAAGGCCCTGTTATTGGAAGTGGGGGACAAAGTGCCCACCGTTCTCCAATCTGCTATAATCTGCTCCAATATAATATACAGTACATGGCACACCCACATGTCAAGGGACTGTTGCCATCGTCTGGATATCCGAATCTTCGGCCTCTTCACTCTTGGGGCTGAAGAAAATCATGCTACCTGCAGCTGGTGGCTCTGAAGCCCAATGGATGTGGACCCAAACCCAGCTTGGTGGTCATTCCCGCTATATACAAAACATCCCACCAAAACTGTCTGGTTTATTGTGATCGGCGTCAAAACACCACCTAGAATCATGTGCCGTCTCCGGGGTGCGGGACCCACCTGGATCCACTTGAAAGCACCGGCCACGCTCACGCACCAGCCAGCTTGAGATCGCATGGTCCACCTATCTCTCGCTCGGTGAGGGGACTTCTCAGTACACCCTAATAAATCTATAAACTATGGCATTGCGGGATAATATGGAGGATTTGATATATGAATTATCGGAAAATATGAGAAGAACCTGGGCTTTTGCCTTCAAATAAGGAGGGTTCTGTCCATTTTGTCTGGAACCAATGTTAGGGGGTGCAGTCTATGAACAATGGAATTGTACGGCCTGAATTCCACCCAACAAAACAGGAAACGTGGCCCTGCCCACTACCAGGGACTGGTTTATATACCGTTTTTTCGGGAGGGACGTGCATGGATTTGGGACTCCTCATGCAATTTTGGTGGCCACTCCTATTCCTCTGACCTGATGTTCAAATTGTTTGCCAAACTAGAAGGTAAAACGAAACCCGCGCACCTGCAACAAAACAACCTGAAAACATGTTCGTATCCAAGGTAGGATGTAAAATGAAGATTGTATACAGTGTTGACTATAGATCAAACATGTTGAAACCACCAGCCAGCATACATTTCTTTCAAGAAGGATCCTCGCACCATCCAGGCCCTGGCCTGCCCACCAATTGGAAAAGCATTGGACAACAGATCCTCAGCAGCTTCCCTTCTCACCACCCATGCAAAGAGCCCAAAGCAAGGTTCCCGCATGGGTCGCACTGGGACCTCACTGGCAGAGGGCTGTTGAGAAAATCAAACGCTTCGGAAGACCATTTGGACCAAATTTCAAATGGAACTTTCGAAGTTGCAAACAAAAACTGTTTTTAGTCTGCACATAATTCTGGTGTTGGACGGCCAATCTGCATAAAAAAACTGGCCTCAATCTATGAACACGCGTCAAAAACCATGCACCTCCAAAAGTTTCGCCTGAAAACTTGCCCCTGTATGGGCCCACCGCCCACCTCAATCTCCGCGTCAGCTTCTCGCGAGATGGCTGGATGAGGTCTCCCCGCATCATCGTGATATCCCAGGAACAGCGCATCCCAATCTTCAGGCAACGCCTTAACAGCCCGGGCCACCACCTCCTCTGCATGAGGAACCAGAGCCAGGATGTCATCTTCCAAGATCAAACCCCATTTGGCCTGGGAGACACGAAGACCAAGGGGGGGAATGGATGGGGTAAAAACATGTGCTGAAGGAAATTTGTCAATTGTGAGGACTTGAAGATGGGTTTCACCTGAGGATTGGTTTCTGCAAAGGTCCAATTGCCAAGCAAGCAGCAACCCACAGCAGCCCCAGAGTCCCACAGTTTGACTGGGGTCCGGTTTGAAGAGATTCGCCAAAGGCCAAGTCAAACACAAGACATCTCTTTTCATCCCTTTTCGACATAACTACCATGAATGTTTGTTCAAGCCACCGTGGGATGTGCCACCAGCGCTTTCAGCGCCAAGCGGTGGGACATGGCACAAGCGATGCCACCCATGGTGAGATGGTTGTCGAAATGCAGCAATCGTCCTTCATTGTGGACGATTGTGTAGGCCCCGCGCCGCCTCGCATGCCTCCAGGGTGACAGGGTGCCTTGGGACTTGGGACCCCTGAAAATTATCCTGTCTTCACATAGGGCACGTGTTCACCAGCACTGATGAGTTCCAATTTTGGGGATGGTATCAATTGCATCTCAGTTTACATGGCTCTTAGTATTCACTCTAAACCCCTTCTTGGGTCACAACGTCGATTTTAAATAATTAAATGTGGTTGTCAGGAAGCATGGCTGCTACCTATGGTGCGGTACCATTCTCCTGCCGGACTCTGGGCGGCAGGAGGTGGTATGTAATGCAACATAATGAGTCATAATATCCAACTTTCACGAAACTTTCGCGAATAAAAAAAATATTTCGCGAACACAAAAAAAAAACTTTCGCGAGGGTTTCCAACATAACACGCACGGTTTTCGCAATTAAAACTCCTTACAAGGACCTTTAGATCGACTGCCATATGTATATATTATATATATGTATAATATATAACTATGTGTGCGTGTGTGTGCGTTTATTTCGTGGGCTGATCATTGAAGTTCATAAGATTTCATAAGTGGCTTCATAAATGGCCAGCACACCATCGCAGAACCAAGTTCCCTGTCTTGCTGCTCAATTCCTGGTGAAATTCCCAATGTCTTTCCCGTTCTTACTCCACAATTCCTAGCCGTTTTTCTGGTGGAATACGGTGGATTTCTAGGTATCTGGGTATCCTATGCCTCGCCCGGTCCAAAGCATCGTCGTTGACGATCTGCGACACCGCGCGGGTGCGCAGCGTCAGCTGCTGTCCGTCCACGGCGTCGATGCGGCGGATCTGCTTCGCCAGGCGAGGACTGGTGAAGTGGAGTTTGTCCAGCAGCTGCTCCTGAGATGGGGAAAACATGGGAAAACAGAAAAGAAGAAGTAATGAAAATCTGGCAAAAAAATTACGGGAATTGATTCTCTAAGAAAAAATATATAAAATGTTGTATAGAAAAAGAAAAGGGATCTAGACCATGAGGTATCCAAATGATACTCGTTTTGGGCGATTCACCCTTAATTTCAGGGGTGAAAACCCCGAAAGGACCAGTCATTTGGATTTCAGACGCTCAAGCTCTAACGTGCCCACTTTGCAGTTTGAGGTGTGTGTTTCCAACATGTTTGAACCCAACCCTCGCACAATTCCAAATCTGATAGGGTTCATAAGCAAACTCTGCAGGACGAGCATCTCTTCTGTCCTGCCTTCGAGCAAGATTGATGTAAACAGCACACCACTCAGATTCCTCTGCTCCCTCCCAGAACGAGGGATCCAATTCCAGAGCGGAATCATCCAAACCTTTCCTTTACTTCGCTTGAGGCAGCACGCAAAAAATGTCCCCGAAGGATTCGAAAGATTCACCAAAAGATTGATGTTCCATTCCATGCATCTTCCTTTCCAAATAATGGATTTAAAGTCCCAATCGGTGGAGTTCCCATCCATTTACCACACGGGTTAAAGTAAAGCACAATCCCCCAAACAAATGACAAAGCTGCAACCAAACCAAGCAAAATACAAGTTCCATCTGTTTGCAATGACCACTAAAGTTCCAATTCACCCCACAAATAATTATTCCAAAAAAATAAATAAAAAAGGAAGTTGGACGGCAGACCAAAAACTGCCACACTGACCAAGGTCAGGTCATAATGTTCATATCTCCAGGGTTCTTCCGTAGCACCTCTCCATCCACGGCTTCCGACGCACTGCGCCGCAGCCAGGTCCATCTGACGTCCGGCCAGCGTCGCCCCATAGCGGTGGCAACCACGGCACCTGGCGGCCACTCGAAGAAAAAAGGTGCACACCAAGAATCCATGGGCGAATCTGGTTTAAATGTTGAAAAATATCATTCTATTTAATGTACAATTCAATTATGGTTAAATGATGAAATGGCTTAAATGGTTTTCATAGGATTAAAATTGGACAGGTTCTATGCCTATTGCCAGGCTCCGCGTGTTGCCGCAGCTCCATCGCACTCGCCTGCTCCTGCAAGAGCGTGAGCATGCTTTTAAAAAGGGAACACCTCGAATTCCGTAAACCAGCTGCATTTTTGTAGATGGGGTTCCCCAGGTCTGCCTGTGTTGTGGATAAGCATATTGTGTTGCAACCACACCAGGCGAACTCCCACTATTTGTAGATAAAGGGCCTGGCGTTCAACCGGGGCAAAGGGTTCAACCGCGCTGAAAAAGTCGAGAGGCCGATTTTCCACCGCGAAACAAGCAGCGCTGACAAGAGCCATGGCCCCTTAAGGGCCCTAAAACGAAAACCCAGCTGGTGGTGGCTTCAACCCTCAAAAGAATCTATCCATTGAGGTGAATCATCCCAAAAAAAGGTATGGAAATAACATGCTTGCCTACAATGCATGCATACCTGTACACATTGACACATTGTGTACATTAAATTTACTGAATCATTTACTTATCACGTCTCGTCACTTCTTTATCCTACTCTCTCTCTCTCTCTCTCTCGCTATTTTTTGAAATCACCAACCAGCTAGTGAATCACACACTCAGGCTGAGCCTCAGGCCCGTGGAGTTTGACTGGACGTTTCCGCCGCACAGTCGCATAATGTTGAGTGGAAGAGCTTGGGGCCGTTGGAGCCCTCCGCTCATCATTCTCAAGTTCCTCAAGCTCGTCAAGCTTCTCACGCTTTTCACGCTTCTCAAGCTGCCGTGACTGCCCCGTGTTTCTGAAGTTTTCCTCCAGAATCAGTTTCTCTTGTGCTTGCTTTCCAGGTGGCTGTGGGGCTTGCGGCATTTGCTGCCGCTCCAGTAAGGCTATCGCCTGAAATAACTTCTGGCGCAGCTCTGGGGGAAGGCTTTGGACCCCCGCGTGGATGTCTTGAGCGGTAGCACTCTGCAGGCCGATGTCCGAAGGCTCAGGGCATTCCCTGGCAGACTCCAAAGATGCGTCTTGGCCGTCTTCGCTTAAGACATCCATGAGCTTCTGCCGCTGGCAAGGGGAAAGCAAATGCATGACCTGTCGGAGTTCGAAAGTATCGGTCTCCAACACCATGTCCAGCGCTGATTTCAGATGATGGAAAGCAAACTGGTAGATGGAGATAGATGTAAATGCTACATCCTTCTCTTTCAAGTACTCAATCTCGCCCTTCTGTGAATAGCCAACATCTCCACGTTTCTTGGTCACCACAATGAGTCTGCAACCGTTGCGTATGGCCACGTCCGTCTTGAGCTTCCAGAGGGCAAACCACATGCAGCCGAATTCCTTTTGCTCGTTGTACAAACGATAGCAGTGACACTTGGAGTCGCCAGATTCCTTCCATTTGTCAGAGTCAAGGTCTCCAAAAGAAGAAATAGTTCAAAGCTGCATGCGCTGAAAGAAGACTAGGGGAGGTTCAAAGTTTCCTCTTTATCATTTTTCAATTATATATATATAGTCTACAGGAAAGTTCAGAGTTTCCTCGTTTATTATGCAGTGCTAATATGTTCAAAGAGACTCAAAATGCTGCTTCTTCAAGGCTTGAGGATCAGCGATCGGCACGTGAACTCCATAGCCATCAGCTTCTTCATCAGGAAGGAAAATGCATGTTGTCAGAAATGTCGAAGAGCCACTCGTCAAAATGTTCCATGCATAGCCATGAACCCCAGGGAAACTCACAATCACATCTTGACCAACATTAAGCTGTTGCGTTGGAGAACCTTGGAAAGTGATTCGTGCAGACTGTGTGCCGTCCTCTGCAACGATCTTGTAGAGTCTGTACAGTTCCAAGGAGTTGGGACGCAACCGCCCTTGCATCATCAAACACGACCGAGTGCGACTAATTTTGAGCAATGGCAGCGCAAAGGGTTCCAACTGTAAGCCCCGCTCTCATGCGGTCCCGGGGGGTCTAAAACTAGATATGCAAACAACTGGAGTCAGCTTTGGCTGAAAAGGTCCTATACCAATTGGACAAAATTGGATTGGACCGTATATAATTCACACGAGCATCAGGAGTGTCAAGATTACAGAAAGTTAATGTTTCCGTTCGGGGAATGAGGAGGCAAAGGTTTGGGGTCTTGTGTGTTGCCATCTTGGGTGCTCATGCCAGGTCATAAGTTGGGCTCCTACTCCAAGCGAAGTTCTGGCTAAGCCAGATCTTATGACCAGTACCGTATCTCGTCACTGTTTTGAGAGCGGCCGGGTTCGTTATTGGGTTGCCAGAATGAGCTTGTGGCGATTAGCTGCATAAAATCCTCTAACCAGCAAAATATGGCGAATTCTATTCTTCTGTGCGGGGAAAAAACGTTCCGCAACTGGGGGTTTGGGCAAGTGGCATTACAAAATACAAACATATACAAATGCCCCCCTCAGTTATATTGGTAATGATCTGCTTATATGGGCTTGTGTGAAAATATAGTACCTCAAAATCCGTTGGTTAATGATCCGTTTCCCTATTCAATGGCCGTTTAGAAGGTATACATATATGCTATAGGTATACCGTATTACCGTATACCTCATTTTCAGACAGCCGCAGTGCCTGCTCAGCCGCACCCAGGACCAGTGGTGCGGTATGCCGCGGATCGCCATGGCAGGGGCCACTAAGGCCATGGTTTTGGAGTGATGGCGGATGGGTCCCCGAAAGAGATGCAGCCATGGGCCATGGATGGCCATGGATGGCCATGGATGGCCATGGATGGCCATGGATGGCCATGGTAATGTAAGTGATGTGAGTGTTCAAAACAGCAAACATGTCTGTGCCCAGAACGTTAGCCGTTGAAACTGTGCAAGGTATGATCCAGAGGTAGAGAGGTATCCGGTTGAGGAGAAACGAATGAACATTTTGTTGGACGATGTTGGACAGTTTTAAACTTTAAACAACCCCAAATCTTTGCATATCCATGGGTGTCCCGAAAATGTTGACGCTTTGTGTCATAAATCTATGGAAATCCGTGGGTCACTTCATGTGTCTTAAACAGCGAACAGTCAACGTGGCGAATCAGGTTGACATGCTGATCCTGCTGTTCCGCATACGGGTTTCTTCTTGTTCGCAAACAGCTAGGAGCAACAGGGGCGAGTTGCGCGCCCAACCATTGCCTCAGCGATCCGCCCCGTCGCAATCTGGGAGCTCCGCCCAGGTTCTGAGGCTCGAATTCTCCTTCTCCAACCTCTGATGCCAAAACGTTGTGAATTCCCACAGGCACCATGGAGATCTATCGAGAGCGCACAGCGCACGAACAGCCCCACCTGCAGCACTTCTGACTGACTTCCTGCCAGCTGGCCATGCAAGGTCTCACAATGTCTCACATGTGGGTTATACAGCGCGCAAAATCAGATTGTCACCAAGCTTGCAACTGGGTTGGTAACTCTTTGAGCCTAGGAGCTAGGATCGCTGTTTACCTGCAGCCCCAAGCATCTTTTGTTCAAAAGGACATAGATTCAGCGTCCGCTGTGCAAGTCTCACGCAGTAAGCAGAACTCCACATGCCTGTACATGACAGCCCTGCAAACCGACAAAAGAAGGTACTGGTATGGCAAAGAAACTTACTGCTCCCACTGATTGCCTTCTTCAAATGATGCAACTGTTTTTTTCAAAAAGGAACGCCACACACGAGTGTTGCGGTGGCTGCAGCTTGTGCGCTGCGGGACTTCATAAAGGATGTAGGCTCAGTGGTCAGTTGGGCGCGGATCTCATTCGTTTTCGCAGGTATAGGATGAGGCTTCTGCCCTGGTGGCTCCCTCGTCCTGGCTTCCACATCCAAGGACCAACAGACTGCCAACCATGAGGATCAGCCAAATCCCTTGGAAACAGAAGGATTTGGTCGAGGAATTCAAAGCACAGAGCATGGCCAACAGAGCGACTGCAATGGCAACGCCCCCATTGAGCTTGGAAGGGAGGCCAAAGCCAAATCCACGTTCTAACATCGAGCTCTCATCGTCGTACTCCTCCTGGTGCATAACAGCCTCAGGATGGAGATCCAGAGCGCAAAGGTTGCCAGAAGCAAAGAAATGTTCCAGGATTCAAGAAATAAAACTCTGGTAAAGAGCGCATGTCAATGGAAAAATGCGGAAAAGCAGACATTGCTTGTGATTTCCTGTTCCGCAATGATGATTGGTTAACTAGCTATTGGAGCTTCGTGAAGGGTACTTGGAAAGCATGAAGGCTGTCGGGCCTTGGCCGTGTCCGAGAGAGTCTCCTCTTCGTGGATCTTGTCGTCTTCCATCTTGCTGTCATTGCCTGGGCGACGGCCAAATGGGTAGAACATGTAGAACCAGCAGACTTCAGATGAACTCAGTTTTGATAATTACCCTCTTCGATGTGGATCGTAGATAAATTCCCTCTTGAACACGCGGCTTTCCCATTGCCAGGTGAAATCATCTACGGCTACGCAAGTTTTACCCACCACCAAGTCATCTCAATAGAGCTAACAGCTGCTAACATCGGTGGCCAACAGGAACACTGAGGCGCAGGCTGATCAAGCGCTGGTAGGTTTCTTCGCCGGGAACTGCTGTGCTGGCTTGGCTTTCATAACCTGCATTGGCCACTGCCCTGACCATGTTCCAAACGTCAGCCGGATGGTGAAGAATTGGTGAAACCAACAGTTTGGGTGCGAAACAAATGTCCATGCCACCATCCACACTTAGCTGTTGGAAGGTTTCCTAGTTTTATTTCCCTGGAAGGCATGCACTTGGATTGGTGCAGGGCCCAAAGTTGCAAAAGGATTCTCGGTCTGTGGAAATAACGGTCAGGTTACGAGCCGTGCCAAGGGATTCATAACCGGGTGACACAGAGAGAGAGAGAGAGATATATATATATATATATACATACATATATTATACATATCATATTTTACTATAATTGCGGGCAAACCCCGCTCTTACCCACGCCGACGTCCACCACATGTCCGAACATCAAAAAACCCTGTGTTTTGTGGGAAATGTCCATGATCTTGGCTTTCATCTTGCAACGCACAGCTTAGCAACCTCGTTGAATGTTACAACATCATCAATTATTGTCATCATCATCATCATCAGCATCATCAACCCCAAACCCGAAACCCTAAAATCCTAAACCCTAAACTCCTTGAACATTCCCTTGAAAATAAAGTTTAACGGGTGTGGGGATTTGATGATTCCCTAGAAACTCTTTTGAAACATCAAGATTCCCTTGAATCAATATCCTTTGGATCCCTAAAAAGTTGTGTGGGCGAAAGGGGGGGTTGCGCGTATAATTACTCATCTACCGCGTACCTGCATGGATGCCTGCTGACATTAGACCAAATTACATGTTATTAATGTGTTATTAATGTGTCAGTGTATTCCATTGGATTAAGTTGCATACGCACGGCATAGACCACGAATAGACCCTATAGAACCCAGCCCCGCTGCTGCCACAGAACGGTCCCACACGGACTTGCCCTTCTCTGTGCACTCCACGTTGGATTCCTTGTTCTCCGTGCCAGCCATGCCCGGGAACCAAGCAAGAGGCTTCCTGATCGCCGGTGTGAAGAAAGGTCATCTGAATCATGTGAGACACATTGAGACACCTTCATGCTCAGTATTGTTAAGCTTTCAATCACCTAAACTCCTCATTGTTTCTCATGTTGAATCATATCTTGGAAAAAAGTTGCTCAAATCTCCCTTTGAAAAAACACATCAGGCACGTTTGAACATTGATGTCGAGCTGCTGATTAAGGATATCCTCCTGTGCAAAGATCATTACTGCGCGGTGGAACCTGAGAGTGGGATTCTGCCTAGGCCTAGATCTTGAGCCAAACATCAGCCGTCAGATCCTCACACAACCAATCACAACCATGGCATCCTGCAACATCAGAAACCGACTGCTCAGGCTGCATGCAAACCATCTGGTGGATGATATGTCCCATCTTCGTAATGCATCAACCAACCCGCATCATTCTACAACTTGCTAACTGAGCTCATGCAAGATCAACCATCTGTGCCAAAGGAGGCACGTCCTCCAGTTTCAGTTCGAGGCTTTGCACTCTGTTCAGCAGCCCCACGGGCATAGGTGTTGGAATGCCCTAGCCATGAGTGAAGGAGCCAAAGGACATAAGTCACAGACCTTCAATCAACAGATGCATGTATGTGAATATGTATATCTATGCAATATAATTCTGTATTTACATGTGCATACATATCATATCCGTACGCATCCGTAGGCATCCGTAGGCATCCGCAGGCATCCGCAGGCATCGGTAGGCCACCCCATGCATACAGTCATATGCACGGGCGAAGAGCAACATCTGATGGCACTGGAATGCTCTGGGCCTCCATATCTGCTATACCGGCGATGCCTTTACACAGCTGCTCAACTGTGGTTGAATGAAAGTGCTATGAGTTTCATTGAAACGCTTCTTAAAATCTTGCAAAAGGTCTCAAGAATGGCAAAATCCTCTCAACCAAGCTGTATCGATGTCACGGGCCACGGGGGCAAACATCTCCAACTCAGCTCTCTGCGTGCACCTCCTGCTTTTCTCATCCTTCGCAACCAAGCCCGTTGGAAGAAGTCTCTCAGGATTTCTTGGATGATAGTCCTTCTGCTTTGAATACACTGGCAAAAGTGAATACTGTAAACATCATTAAACATCAATAAATCATGTTGGACCCACCTTCAAGGTCTTGAATTCTCGACCCCATCGATCCAAAGAGTGGCAAGAGGCAAAAACCCAGCACTCGGGTCTCCGCCTGCGTCCCGAGGCGCAATCAGGAAGCAGCCTGCGCCAACGGCACGCATTGCTTTGCGGTAAATCCCTCCACCTCTCTTTCTCTGATATCAAAAATTCGCCAACAAGGGCCAACTGTTAACTGATTCATCTCCGAGGATCTTCCAAGTTTCCACAGCTTCCACCAAACCCCCAAAACTTGGATTCATCCCACCCAACACACCCAACGCACCCAACCCAGTGCCGCATGGCTGCCGCCAAGATGCCCAACCTTTGGTCGGTGCCTCCCACTGCACCAGTGAGCTGCAGCACCCCCCAGGGTCAAAGCCAACGGCTGCGGAGAGGAGATCCAGCTGCATGTTGAAACCCAAGGGAATCCATGAAGAGGTGGGGTGGGGTGGTTGTTTGTAGGAGCCAAGGGCGGGCAAGGAAACTTGCGCTCACATGTTGAAGCACGTAGGAAAAGGCCTCTGCTTCGGGCAAAATCGGGTCGACTGACATGAACTCGGAGGCATGGTACCCCAAGCGCTGCTTTTCAGCTTCAAGCAACAGATGTTTTCCTTAGCCCAAGCATCTGGTCAGGCCCAAGCTTGGCGGGCACCTGTACATGTTGTTTCTGCAATGCATCGCAAATTTCTAGCCCAGTCATTGGCTCTTCCCAGGTCCTTCCAGCAGTTTCTGCGTTCCCACAAGTTGGGTGGCTTGAAGTGAACGACTTGTCACCATTGTCACCACTACACTCTCCGCACCCAACTCCTGCTCACATGCCTCTTCATCTTGCCATCTGCAGCTTCTTGCAGACCTTAAGATGCCAACCGCAGCAATGGGGGGGACCAGTAGTGGACCAGTGGAAATAAGATTGCTGTTCTGGAGCGCTGGATCTATCACAGCAAAGGTCCATTCGGAAGGACAGATTTCGGAAGTGAGGCCCTTCAAGAGGTAAAAACATGTCCCACTTGGGAAAGCTGCAGGGAAGAACTGCTTTCATTTCACTCCGCAGAACGGCACATCGCGGCCATCAGGCGCCACCCAAGGCCTCCCAGACTTGACCTGGGGAGCACCAGGTCGAGACGGATCAGCTTCCGAGATGGCACCATTTTCTGGACATCACGTGAAAAATGAGGTTGAACCAAATCAATGTGTGTGTGTGCAGTATGTATATATTTATATATATATACTACACACTATATTACTATATAATATAGTATTTATTTATATATATATATATGTATAACTATAACAGTTTATGTGCTGATGTCAAACTCCAATTTTCTGGATGCTCCTTAACCATGACCAAACATTTGTCGGGCGTGCGGCGTGCAGCGGCCCCCATTTCTGAGCCATGCTTACAATGGTGAGCATCTGCCACTGCCACATGTCTATGTACACCCTCATCTGGCTTGTTGGCCAAAATCATGTTCTTGCTAGTCATAAAGCCCCTATGTATAATGTCATATATGATTTATATGATCATATCAGGGCCCAGGGCCTCGTTTCTAGTTGGCCTCCTGCCAAGGCTCGAAAGACGTCACCGTCATAGGCGAACTGCACCTCAGGCAGCATGGCCGCATCGCAGGCCTCCGCCAGCTGGGAATCCAGCACCCCCAGCACCAGCTGCCGAGCCACCTGGTCCTGCCAGGGACAAGGCTTCAGATGGTAAATTCACTGAATGTAATAAAAATGTAAGAAATCATGCCTACATGTGCCTACATTGCACGTTGGAGTTGTTACAAACCTCTCACAAATGTTTCTCGTCTCTGGTCAGAAATCAACAGGACCAGCCGTATTAGAAACCTCCCAGTTGCAAATGGGCCAAATGGATCCAAATGGGGGGAACTGCAAAGTATGTTTCCATATACGTAATTCTTCATACATATCCATAAATGAGAGGAGGATTTGCAGGTATCGGAGGTGCCATTTTCTCCTTGCAGTTTGTGGGTTTGGAAGCGAACCTCTGTTCCCATTCCAAGAGCCCAATCAGCATCTACTGCTTCCCAACCATACGCAACCATACGCAAACTATGGATCAATCGGAAGACCTTGGACCTGGAATAACCCCAGAGTTGTCACCAAGTATGGGCCAGGGCCCAGGGGGGCCGCATCATCCATCAACAGCATCGCACCCTTTTTCTCCACAACGAGACAAGTTGGGTACTGCAGTTGGGTACTGGGCGCACCAGCTTGGCTTTCTAAGACAGGCGGGCTGGATGTCCTTCGCAGCCATCCTCCGCTGACAGCCACATCCGATTCATGAAATCGAAGTGGAGGTAGAACCTCAGTCAAGAGCCACACTATCAATCAGTGGGTAAGGGGAACTTTGGGGTGCACCGAGCTTGTCGTTGATTCATGTTTATTCCAATTTCTCTTGCAGCCGTTTCAGCCGTTCCAGGAAGAAGCTTCGCTGGATCCGAAGCCATGCAAAATTCATGACCCATCAGCACCCCAGCCATCTTAAACATTCGACCAAGCGGACCAAGCCGACCAAGGAACCGATGGTGCAATCCAAAGGCCCTTTCCCCAAACTTGGCCTTCACACCTTGGAAGCCCTCCTTCTCCCATCGATCTGCGTTCCTCCAGTTTCGGCCACTGTCGTGGCCCCAGCCGTCGTATTCCTTGATCTCCTCCAGCAGTTCTTGAAACGTCCCTTTTTGAACGTCCTTTCTTGGGTGTTCACCCACTATTTAGCCATTCAAAAGCAATGCTTTGCACCCCATAGGTTCGGTGGATCAATTTCGTTGATCATCTGTGCCAGGTTGGTTATATCCCGGTTTTCGCACATACGCTAGCTAGTCCCGTTTCTTTCACTTACATACTTGTTGGGTGAGAAATATGATCATAATTACTGTTGGTAAAACGATAATAAACCATCCCCCAAATCACCATAAACAGGTGGTATAAAATGGTATAAACCAATCCCAAATTCATTGACAAATGGATGGTTTATTGTTGTTTTACCCACATTAGTCACCATTGGTGGCAACCGGTCCAGTACCCAAAATTTTGGGGTGGCCCTGGTCCTCAGCCGTCCATCCCTCGGGATCGCCCTCGGCCATGCTGAGTTGCAACACGAAGCCCATGCCTCCAGCAGCGTTTGGCACCTGTCGAATTTCGCGGCCATGGAAGACCTTCACATTGTCTGCATGGGCGTCTTGGCTGTAGCCGGGAGTCATGAACATCCTGCCCGCAAACACCAGTCGCATTGAAGTTCTAAGCGATCCGGGTGTGCCAACCACGATCGTGTTGGGACAGAACCCGTTTCATGATGTGTGATCCAACAAACATGAAATGTTGTCGCTGGTCATGTCTGGGCACATCCGCATTTATCTGCATTCTGTTCCAACATACCAGATTTCCAACGTTCCCGATCCACAGACGGTCCTGGGCTTGAACGAGTCGAAGACCATGGGTTGCTCACCAGCACCCTGTGCCACCAACGCCAAGTGTTCCCTCAACTTGTTGGAGAGTACCAACTGGAACATCATGCCACCACAGAAGTCAAAAGGTGCCTTGGACAGTGGGACCATCGATACAAAGGGGATCATGGCGGTTTTGTCCAACTAACGCGTACTACGCGCAGAAATCTGCGTCCATGATGCAATAGATCAATATCAATCCTTAATAAGTTGTTGCGCCAAACAAAGCTGTTCAACCCCAACTTTGACCACCCGAGTCACGTTTGGAAAGATCCCGGTACAAAATGGCACCAGCGTACGTTTACACATGGGAAGGGTTCTGGCGTCAGGGGTCTTTTGTGGGGTGGCCCATCGCCCAGGTGCGTTGGCATCATGGAGATCCACCAAATATTTCGCCACATTCATGGGCTGTCCATAAAACTCGTCCCGCGCGCTGGGGTCATGCAGGTGCCTTGTGGCTGTGGCCGTGGCATGACGTGCTAAGGTGGTTTGGCGCTTGTACCCAGTGGCTCCGGCGATGAAGTTCATGGAATGACAAGCGAGAAGCACGGCACAAGCTCCCAGTGCGCGGCAGGTGGGGCGAGAAAGTCGCCGAATGGAAAACATAACTCCTACAGAATTCTTCAAGCCAATATTAATATGGCTGCAGATCGGTCTATGTAATGGTTGCGTCATTTTCCACCATTAACGTCCTTGTCAATCCTTGTCATACCCGTCCCTCTTTCCGATTGATGCTGTGCTCAACCTGCATGCTGCATATCATGCCACTGCAATGAAACCCAGTCCTTTGGGACTCGGCCGGCAAATTTCCCTCCACTCACCAAACAGAGTCTCATCCGCTCGATGCGAGGAAGGCTTGCCCTTGCGGAAACTATGACGTCAATGACATCATGGGAGATAGGATGTAAGTACCCTGCAGGAAATTCACTTGGCAATCAATGCAAAAAATCGGAAATACGGTATTTAATGACTAAATCAGCAAACATGGGAATCACCAAATATGTAGCAATATGTTTTTTCCACTGCCATGATTGCTTCCCACGCAGCAGAAAATGACAATCAATTGGACATGGTTATTCTTTGTCGTGTTGAAAAGCTTAGCCCTGTACCTGGGCCCCAGCTGGGAGTTGTAGTCATGGCATGCCCTCACAACGTTGCGGCCAACCAAGCGCACTTTCCTTGGGAGCACCGTCCGATTTGATTGATTCGTTAGAGACAGAGACAGATGCAAACCAAACACGAAGATACCAAGGCCTCTCCGGAAATTGTAACTAGTGCATTTAAAGATGAGGACAAGTTGACACCCCAATACAATCTGAAAGAAAATGCGAAGAGAAATTGGCAAACAATGTTGCACTCTTCTGTCTGCTCCTTTGAATTCAAATGTTCGCTAGCTATCAGGCTAGGGTCCAGAGAAAGGAAGCATCATCCGCTTCATCCACACGTTGAGGCCCAACAGTGTACCTGAGCACTGACGAAACGCTGGGACACCCGTTTCAAACCCGTCTCAATACATGAGTTTTCGAAATTTCCACCGCCAAACATCTTTAGGAACTTTAGGAGGGAAACGATCCTCCTTGGGGCACCCTTTTTGGACTCACTATCTGTTGAATCCCTGACTCTTACATAATCAAAACCTGCCCTATGTTGCAGGCTGAGATGCACCATTGCCACATTTTTGGCATGGTAAGGACGCGAGTCTCGCTCTTCAAAGATGTCCTCAGATAGGAAGAGGGATGCATATCTTTCCCAACCTCCTCATGCCAAAAGGGCTGTGTAACTGAGAAACCCCTTCCTCAAGGGCTCTCTGCACACCATTTGCAGCATTGTTTTGTCACTTTTTGACGGTGGACCCTTTAATTATCCTTATTCCTACCAACCATGTTTGATAATAGATCCTGGGTTCATTTTATGGATATTAGAAAATATGCATGTACATATGTGTGCGTGTGCATTCGCAAATATATCTATAGGATAATATATGGATATATATATATATGTGTGTGTGTGATTATATGCTATAAATATATATACATATACTGTATATGGCTATGTTATATATATATGATTATATAACTATATATATACGGATCTAGATATACAACACATGCGATCATTTTGCCACCAGTCCTAAGGCGAACCAACCTTGGCCAGTTTGCCAAGGAGCCAAGATCACCAGGCCGCCTCTGCCTGGATCGTTGGCCACCTCCTGGGCCTCCGAATCGCTGGAGCCAAGGTACAGGAAGGCGGCCTCCAAACCTGCTGCTGAAGCCGTCATTTTGGACAACTTGACTGGTCAATCTATGGATGATTTTTATGTGTGCGTTTCCTCAAGGGAATGAAAAAGACATTTCAAAAAACTCTGATGTTGGGGGGGTGGAGAGGGGATTTTTGAGCCATGGCCAGTTGGATTTGCTATAGGTTGGGTGATGAGAGTGGGTTCAGTTCCAAGGGCTTGGATTCAACAAGTGGTGAAGAAGAGAGTAAAACTGTAAGCCCCTGATGAGATGCAGCCCCATTGAATCCTCGAAACACAGTTTCAATATGCTCATGTCTCTGGATTTGAAACAATTTCAGGGTTGAAGAAAATGAAAGAAACGTTTATATTAGTTCAGCCGAAATTCATCAGTAACAGCATTTGAATGGCATGAACTCACAGCTAAGTTCCCTGCAGGGTGGCAGGCGCACAGTACTGGGCGCAGGAAACAGCCCAGACCTGAGACATCTGAACCCTCACTTCGTCTCATTTCATGGAGGCCAGCAGAAAAGTGGATCGTAGGGAGGAAAGAAGTTGCAACTGCAAAGGTTCCAGTTTCAGTTGGTGTACCTCTTGTATAGTTACAGTACTGTACATCTTTGCAGAACCATCCTAACATTTGCAAAGCGATGGCGCACTGACTCAGCTGGGCCCTTGACTTAATACCAGCCTTCATGGCCATCCTCAGCAGGCCCTGGCTGTTTGGATTTATCGTGCCATCAGGGTTACCGTGAAAGCCTAATAACGAACCGACATAGCAGTGAAGTAAAGACACAGTTGTTGATGATGATGATGATGATGATGCTGCTGCTGCTGCTGGTGGTGGTGGTGGTGGTGGTGATGGCGGTGAATGTGAATGTGAATGTGAATGTAAATGCGATTGTGATTGAGACAGTGATAGTGACAGTGACAGTGACAGTGATAGTGACAGTGATAGTGATAGTGACAGTGATAGTGATAGTGATAGTGATAGATGTGATAGTTTTTGTGGTAGTGGCAGTGATACTGATCGTGATAGTAACAGTTCTAGCCTTGAAGCTGAGCCTTTATCATCTTCATTTCATGAGCTCCAACTCCAAAAGAAAATCTTTACCGCGAGACGTCTGGGCGGCCGGCCTCGTGCATGGGGCTGTAAGCCTCCGGGTCGTGGCCAGCAACTTGGTGCAGCTCCTCAAGCGATGCTATAGTCCGTATGGTTTCATATTCATATTCATGTCATGTCATTCTCATAATAGATGGTCCCATAACTCCAATAACAACCAATAGCACAGGGCTAATATCTGAAACCATCCTCCCGTGCATCAAATATCTGCCCTGCGGTGAATTGATTCCACCAAGATGAGCGCGGACGAAGTCAACCATCCAAAATGGCCGCGTCACCACAAATACTTCGCTCGCCAGAAAAAAATCGTGCTACGGAACGAGCAAAGTATCAAGCGTGCAAGCCTTTTTGCCAATTTTTACCAGTAGCCAAACTAGGTGTGTTGCAGACTGGCTTCTGTGGCCCCAATCAAGGATAAGAAGTCAACTGGGTATGTCCTACTATCACCACTTACCAAAGAGCATACCTTCGTTGACTATTGCCTAAATTTAACATGGAACCCTAAAATGGCAATCCAATATGAAAATAATCTTCCAGGTCCAAATCCAATCAATATCGTCGTGCTTCCATGTTGGATCTATCGATGTAATCCTTCCTTCCATTTGCCATTTTCACCGTCCAATCATTGCCGATGCCTGCCCTGTGTCGAGAGCTCCTGCGCAAACTGGCCGTTGATGGTGCCACCACCAACCTGATGGGCAATGCCCCATAACATTGGGATAAATTGGGATTATGAACATCACCTGCATGAAAGGATCTGTGAATGATTCTCGATTGTTGAACATGATCAATTTATTGGGGTCAGTTGACTTTCTTAGCGACAGCTTCCCCAGCCATGAAGGCCCTTTTGGCCAAATCCTGGCACGAAGGCCCGCGCCTTCAGCTTCTTGGGGTTTCCCGCATTCACCGAAGCCACCAGCTTCGCATCCTCCGGCACCTTCTCATAGATGGCCGTGAAGGCGGCTCCAGATTTCCTGGAACAAAAGGAAGGAAACAGGACGAGGCAAAGAGGAAGAACAAGAAGGACAAAAGAAGAGAATCTCATATCCTCGATTGGCCTTGCGAATTTTAGCGATGTAAAATCACAATGATAGTGTCCACTTTAGTCTACCAGAAATTGATTCTTTGGTTCTATATATTTCTATATCTATCGAGAGGGAAATCCTAGCGCGTATTTGTAAGCTGGCCACTGGCCATGGTCCAAATTGCAGTTAGGAGACTTTGGGTTCAGGCAAAAGGAGACCTGAGCCCATCAATACTATGGAGTCCCTGAAGTTGCGCCCATGTCAGCCCACATACCTTCAAATGGCTAGCATCCAAAAAAGGGAAACGTTACTGACTACAACCGCTGAGCAAGGCAGTTCCACCTAGATCCACATTGTTCCTACTCATATCCCAACTGGAAGATCTCTATCTCCCTGATCGTTGGTTGTATCCCAATGTTAGTGCATTGGTAGTTGCTGCAATCCCACTTGACGGGGCTACTACCACTGGGCAATGATATCCCCACACACCAAGCGCATGCGCCAAATCCGCCGCGTAGCTTTCGCTTCGCTCAGCCGCTCCAGGTTTGGCAACTCCTCTGGGACCTGCCGTGAGCCACAACCCTGCGATCAGAGATGGATGGAGATGGGTTTTAGTGGCTGATTGCTGATTCAAAGTGCATGTAGAAGAAACGTCAAAAGAATGATGGGCGTAGACCATCACAACAATCATTGGTTCATTCGCCGTTTGGCCTGGTGGTTTTGTCACAGTATCTCATCTCTGCTGGATGTTTTGGAAGCCTATGCCCCTAGGCCTCGGCCCGCGATGACACTGGCCTCCAGGGTAGAAACTTGGAGGAGCCACAAGTTTTGATACAAAGCCCCTAGACATGGAAGCAAGCACTCAGAATCCCAGGCAATCTCTTCATCATCTTCATCGAATGCCTTGTTTTTGCCACCGGCACTGCTTCTCCATGTCCATGCTAACAAGAAAGCTGAACACTGCGGTCGCCTGCAGCGTTGGTTCCAATATTGCTGGATCTCCTGGTGTTGCTGGAAAGCAGGAAGCGAAAAGCAGGGCCAATTCAACCACGCCAAGTCAGCTGGCATAGACAAGGGATGAGATAGAGAGGACATGAGTGTAATCGTGAGATACGAATTCACACGACAGAATGAAGCAGAACAAAAGTCTTTGCAAAATTTGGTGACCCAACAATCCGCCAAAACGGTCTTTTTTAAGAAAAGGAAAACTAAGGGATGGATCTTCTGATCCTCTGTTCCTTATGTTCCTTGGATTGGGGGGACACCCATCTCAAACTCACTCCTGCTGACTGTATTGCCGAGCATAGTAGCCACTGATCTCCTGGCACACTCAGCCTGAGGAAACTTCGATTTTGATACCACGCACGAATGGAAAACAAACATGATTGAAACAACAACAAAAATGCAAGCCGAACTAGTTCCACAGTGTCAGGTTTCGGAAATGTTCCCTTCCAAACAAACACCTCCCTCAGCTTTGAAACGCTGGAGCCCCTCCTTAAAAGTGTAGGACGCCCCATCCGCGGGATCAATGCGCTTCTCCATCAAAGCAAGTTGAAAAACGTAGTTTCTAGTTCCCATAACAGGGGTTGTTGCTTGCGTATGGGTGCAGTCAATGCCTCAATGGATGAATCAGCCAGGACGATGGGTTGTCTCGAAATCAAGCAGAAAGTCAATTTCATACGCGCATGTCTCTGTGTGCGTGTGCGTAATGTGTGTGTGTGTGTGCCAAATGTGTTGAGCCTTTGCGTGCGTGCGTGTGTGCGTGTGGAATCATGTGTACAGCCTAACATCTGCTTTATTCAACTATGGCCGTGCATCGGCCATCTCTTGGACTTCTTGAGCCATCTTCCCCGAAAGCTCCTGGAATCAAACTTGACATTCCAACACCATCCACCATGCCAAGAATCATGGAGCTCCCAAACTGCCCCTCACCGGGCGGCCCCCAACATCCCCCAACTTAAGCGTTCAATAAGCCAAGAAATCAAGATTTCATGGTGGTCAAATGGATGTTTCCAAATACCCCAAAAAGGTCCCACGTTCACTTAGGACGAAATTTTTAAGGTCACTTACGCCGAAAATGACCCCCTCACATTTTCGACATCACTTGCGCCGAAAAACTTCTGATTACCTGTAAATTTCCACGAAATTTCGCTTCCACGAAATGCAAAAAAACGATCCTGAGAGCAACTCTCATTCATGTTCC